TTTCTTCATGCATGTTTTATAACAAAGAGATTTTTTAAAAGCTATCACACCAAGAATATAAAATCTTTGTTATTTGGTTGAAAGATAACACAATACATACATGTCTTTGGAAGAGATGTTTCTTAAATATTTTGGCTTTTCAGTTGAATCCATGTGTAACACTCTCTGAATGCTTCTTTAATCAAATTATGCTATATTAAAAGTTGGTCACATTTTTACTTTTCCATTAGTTGCTGCTCCTCTAAATCACCACAAAAATGGCTTTTAAATTTTAGAGGAAAACAGTTATCTTTGTGAGGTTTTATTTCCCTATCCCTGACAACACGTTTTAAGGTTTAATAGCTCTGCTTAAGTGTTTTTGATTAATTTGGTAAACAAATTCAGGTGACCTCTTCTGAGGAATATATCTTGAAATTACGACCATACTCAGAAAGCATTATCTAATCCATACAGTTGAAAAGTTAAAATACTTGTTGAAATACAAAGGTAAGGGAAGAATAAGTTGTGTTGTTATCATATTTTTGACAAAGTGAATGAATTAAATAGTTCTGTGATGATGGTTAAAACTTTCCAAAAGGAAAGCATAAAGAGTATGTGGAATTTAAATAAAAATCATTACCGTGTTATATATGACAATCCACACTTATACCATTAAAAACTGCTTTTAAATGAATTTATTGATAAAAATTTCTTTTTCTACACACTATCTATTGTATATTTTTCAAAAGAAAATTTTTTTTCTAGACTACATAACTCTCTCTGCTTTATGCTTCTAAATAAGATACGTGCTGTTGGGTGCCTGGGTGGCTCAGTTGGTTAAGCGACTGCCTTCGGCTCAGGTCATGATCCTGGAGTCCCGGGATCGAGTCCCACATCGGGCTTCCTGCTGGGCGGGGAGTCTGCTTCTCCCTCTGACCCTCTTCCCTCTCGTGCTTTCTATCTCTCATTCTCTCTCTCAAATAAATAAATAAAATCTTTAAAAAAAAAAAAAAAGATACGTGCTGTTGTTTAGAGCTCTGCGGTGTGAAATTATAGACCAGGAGTTTTCTAATATCCATAAAATAAATTAAAAAATGTTCCTCCTCTGAAAGACAGATAATTCAGTCACAGAGAGCTTATTTCTATGTTTCCTTTGTTTTCTTTTTTCTTTTTTTTTTTTTAGCTGCTTGGTAAGCCAATTTTCTACTTAGAATCTACTGTTAAAACTCTCATTTGGTTCAGTATGTGGGCTTTATCCTTTCCATGGTCTGTTATGCAAAAATGATGGCTTTAAATTCTTTTTTTAAGTTTGCTGTAAAGCAGTGTTTCTCAATGTGGATGCACGTGAGAATCACCTAGGGAACCTGTTAAAGAATACTGGTGCTTCCTCTCCCTCTGGATATTCTGATGTAACTGGTCTGGGTGGGCCCCTTTGTAAAAGCTCTGCAGGTGATTGTAATGTGTTGCCAAGGCTAGGAACCACTACTCTAGGATCTTGTCACTTTCCAACTAAAAGCTTATTATATTTTCTGATTGAACTTGGATGGGAAATGCTTTTTAAAAATTCTATAGTTTTAACAGATGCAAAGATTAAATTTCTTCTCTATGAGGTTGCTACTCTTTTAGTTTGAATTTTAGAGTTTAAGAGCAGATTGTATCTTTTATTCTGATGATTAGCTAAAGAAGTCTATTGGTGGCCAGTGAAAAAAATTTAAAGACATATGCCTGAAAATTACTTTTATAGACTAGTGGCTTTCGTTCATATTCTAAAAAATGTGCTACAATTAATTCATAGTTAAAAATTATGTCTTCACATGTGAAAAAAAGAAACAATTATTTCCCTAGAGATTTCTTCCAAAGACGTTCACCTTTTGCATACAGAAGTTCAACGTGAGGTTCTGCAAAAGCAATCTTCACAAATTTTTCCAACAGTTTAACTTTGATAGAATGACTGAAAGGGCCAAATCCAAGAAAAAGCTACTCTTGCTAAAAAAAGGAATTTCTGTATCTTAATATAGTAGGATTGAAAAGGGGGGCATTAACTATGCAATCAGTGGTGAATAACTAAAAATCATGTGCAAGTATCATATACAACTTTATGAAAATCTATTCAAAAACACTTACATGAAATGGATAATTTTCCAGAAATACAAATTTAGGAAAGTGACTTCAAAATTCCTGAAAAAAAAGCAGCCCTTAAAACTGGAATCTGTTATTTAAAAAATCTACCTTCCTTTAAGACACCACACCCAAGCAGTTTTACAGGTGAGTTTCACCAAACGCTCAAGTATCAGATAATTCCTTTCGGTACTGTTCCAAAGAGGAGAAAAAGAAAAAGCTAGCCAAATCACTCCAGAGGGCTAGTACACCCTTTATATGGAACTTAGAAAGGATAGTAAAAGCAAGTAAAACTGTTTGCCAATCTCATATTTGAGCAAACTGTAAGGCCTCTTTAGTGTTTCCTCCTGACTATCTCCCTAAGTGAAATCAATCATTCCCCACTGGCTCCTACGATAGCTTACACATGCTCTATCCATAGCATCCTTTAATGCTTTAGTGCATTTACTTCATATTTGTCTCTCATTGGCTGGACACTAGGATCCCTGCAGGCAGGGTTATTTTTGTATTCAGATCCCTTGGAATGAAATACAGTGTTTACTCCGTGGCCATGCTCAATAGTTGTTGAATGATGTGGAAACCGAAGGAAGGGCCTTTCAGATAGAAATACCAGTAATGTGTACAGGCAGGACATGGAAAATAAGAGGCAATGAGTAAACCACTTGGCTAGAACATAGGTTTGTATAAGGAAATAACACTGGAAAGGTAGGTCAGGGCCAATCAGGGTGGGCTTTCAGTGCTGAAGCTAAATTTAGTTTCATATCTACTGAAGTCATTTGAGCAAGCAATGGCTAAATCAGATCCATGGCTTCAGAATCCAGGTGAGCACTTTTTAGAGCTGTCACAGACCTGGAGGTGACCTATCTGGTGGAAATCCATCATTTTAAAAACAGGAAACTAAAGTCAGAGAGAATAGGTGATCTACCCAAGGGCAAAGAACACAAAATTAGCTGAGGGCAGGCAGAAGCTTAGAGGAAGTAAACTTGACTAAGGTTACACAGTTAGCATGTATATGGTCCAACCAACAGGTAAACTAGGTTTGTCCAACTCCAAAGTCCATGATCTAGATGACACCAGGAGATAAGGTATGTAGACCATATGTATACCCTTTAGAACACTCCTAATTTCATGTAATACACTCATTTCAAATAAAGGTAATTTATGTAGAGTATAACTAAATTATTTTTACCTTTATTATAAGGCAGAACATTTAACAGAATTCTAATTAGCTTCATTACAATCATTTTGATGTAGTCTTTTACTCAATTAGCTTCTGAACCCAAGATCAATAAAGCAGTAGGCATGAAAAGCAAGTGAATAGGAACAAAGCACTTCCTTAGCCTCACAAATCCACACCTAAAGCATTACAAGTGGCTTTAGTCACTGCAACAAAATTGGAAAAGTTCTAGAAAAAGGTTAATTAATTAATTAAAAATGACTCTGCAGTCTTAAAGACAGCCTGAAAGTTTATAACACCAGAAGAGGCAGGTAGAGATAGAAAAAACTTGGACTTGTTCATTGTATCTCAGAATTAAAGCCTAATAGATAATAGATTTAAAGAAAATATAGAAACATACCACAGTTTTCCTTGCCTTACAATGGAGTCAAGTCCCAGTAAACCCATCATAAGTTGAAAATGCATTTAATACACCTAATCTACCAGACATCACAGCTTAGCCCTGCCTAGCTTAAACATGCTCAGAAATTTAAATTAGCCTATACAATTGGGCAATGTCATCTAACACAAAGCCTATTTTATAATGAAGTGTTGAATATCTCATGTAATTTATTGAATACTGTACTGAAAGCAAAACACAGAATGGTTGTAAGGGCAACAGTTGTTTATCTTCATGATTGCATGGCTGACTGGAAGCTGTGGCTGACTGCCACTGCCCAGCATCATGGGAGAGTAGACATATCACTAGACTGGGAAAAGATCAAAATTCAAAATGCAAAGTATGGCTTCTACTGAACATGTATTGCTTTCGTACCATGGCAAAGTCGAAAATACTAAGTCAAACTATCTCTAAGATGGGACTGTCTATATTTTACTCAGGCAAAAACTTAAAAAAGAAACAGGAAAGGTTGCTTTTGTTTTAAATTATAAAAAAGAAAAACAGAATTCCATACTCAAAGTACTGGTACAAGCTGGAATTACCCACAGGTTCACAATAATGAATGATGATGGAACCACGGTCAGGAATAGATAGGATAAATACTGCCCCCCCACACACTACTAGATTAACCATTTTGGTGCTCCCATCCAAGGCAGGATACTACACTGAGAAGGCCACCGCTCTACAGCCCTCCTTATAAATTCTTGCCTCAGCCATGGTTTGGTACCACAGAGTCTTCCACAAAATAAGCATTCATCTAATGTTTGCTGATTCAATGATTGAAGTATAAAGAAGGTGACAGAAAACATAGCTTTGGCAGGTATGAAATTATGGGCAGGCAGTAATGACACTACTAAAAATGGTAATAACAAGAATCACAACAGTGATCTGTGTTTGAGCATTTACTATATGCAGGTATTGCTCTAGATGCATGTATTAACTTTTTTATCTTTGTTAACTCTATTTTTCAAATAATGAAATCACAGTGCATAGAGCTTAATAAGTTGCTCAAGAACAGAGAGCTACACAGTGGCAGAGCTTGGATTTGAACCCAGAAGCCTGTGTTCTTAATCACTGTGAGATTCAGGCCAGCCCTGGAACTGTCTGTTTACCCTATAGATATGATACTTCTAAGGATCCCACTTTACATGTAATTTCCTCTTTTGAGAAGTTAGGAAAATAAATTATAGGTTTAAAAAAGTATTCATCTTTATTTCAGAACAGAAAAACTAAGAGTCTTATTTTATTTGCTCTTCAACAAAATGTATATATTTGCTTTAAATTTACCTCCAGTCTTCCTTGAGCATAACCCAGGAGCAGCAGATTGGCTCTGTCCTTCTCAGGAGAAATGGGGGCCCAAGGCCAAGCATCATCACTGACCAGTGGCCACCAGCAAGCAACTATATCCTGAACACAATTGATAGCTAGATGACGCTCTGTTGTCCTGTTTACTGGGCCAGGTATCTCGTAATAGGAAATCTAATGATTAGGGAAAAAAGCATATGAGAATCATTTTTTAATGCAAAATCCTCCCAGTATTACAAAAATTAAAGCATCTGTAAATGTAGATAAATGCAAGTAAATATGCATGTTAAACATGTGCTTAAGGAGGTGTCAGAATTTACCAAATTCTTTTGACACATATATAAAAAAGACATATGTTCAAAATTCTCCCCATTTTTAGCAGAGGAAAGGAAAAGGAGAAATGTGAGTTAGGGAGGAATTGGCTGTAGCAATCCCAATCAATACCAAAATGTACAGTCATGGCTGCTTGACAGCTTCGACCTACACATAGGATTTAAGACCAGCTATATTAAATGACAAGTTCAGTACTGCTGACCAAGAGTATCTGACTACTGTTTAAGACATAACACGTTAACAATGACTGACAACAATAAAAGGAAAAACAACTTGAGGCAAATATCACTTTAAAGAATATATGAGACATATATTCTGCATAAAGGGATAAGACACAGCATCATGCGTAAAAGTTTATGCAGCTTCTGAGAATTATGCTTCTCTTTCTTAGGAAGGATTTGTAGAATTTATTATTCAAACTATGTTATTTTGGAACATGGTTATTTGAAAACATAAGCACAGCACCATCTGGGTGACACATGCCAAGGAAATATAGATTGCACCGTATTTCTGCTTAAGGAATTAATGGAAGGTTGATAGCTTGGAAGAAAAAAAAAACTATCTTGCCATTGCTGGTCAGCAATAATCGAACCACTTTCTGGGGATTAAGCGCATGGCTAAGCCTACTGGACCAGACACTAGCAAAGGGCAGGGGGTCTTCTTATCAGAGAAATGCTTCTGGAGCCAGTCTCACTACATGACAGATTGCTTTCATATTCCTGTCTGCAAGGCAACAAAGGATGGCAGTAATGCGATAATGCCAGAGTGCAATGGGTGTTAAGAACCCGTTGCATTTATGTATTGTATTTAGTAAATAATCAGGCTCATCCAAATTGTGATCTCACCACTCAACCAAGGCCATTAAAATCAAGGTTAATGCTTTAATAATCCTCTGCTATTTTTTTTAATATGGTCAAAAGGAACCCTTTTCTATTTGTATGGCCATAATATTATTGACCTCTTCATCCTCTGAATGCACATCAAAAGGAACTGAAATCAAAGTAATTACCAGTGTTGTTCTCCTATGGTAAACATTTAACTCCTTGCACTGTCCCTTTCCTGTTAAATAAATTGAATTGGATTTTTAAAATGTAGACTGGAAAACTTGTTAAAGGTCAACAGTTTCAGGATATTTACCCCGCAATTTTCTCTGCCAAAATTATTTCAATCTGAAAGAATTAAATTATGGTACAGCTGTAAAGAAAAGCAGAGTTATAAATACTCTACACTATTTCTTTGTTTTAAAATTCAAATGGGCAATGACAGACAACACAGATGTACTTTAGGCTTCAAAGTGAAAATTCTTATACTTATGCTCTCAATATCATTATTTTAACTACTTATCTTCTTGAGATAAATACCATAATAGAATTGCTAAGTCCTCACAAATAAACATACATTATTTTGATATCCTATTGCCATGTAAGCATGTTACGAATTTCTAGATGAGAAAATAGTGTTAAGAGACTGACACTTTCAGTCCTCCTGTGGTGCAAATCTGAAATTTCCCGTTTCCTGTGAATTTTAATGGTATCAGTCTTCTATCATGATGGTCAACAGGGCAAGTAAAGTGAACAAATTTCTTAAATTATCCTTCCAATAGACATATGGCCATTTTTACTAAGTATTAAATAACTGTATTTTAAATACTGGACCAGAAAATGAAATCCATGGGCTTTTCCAAAGGGAAGCAGGTTACTTCTCCAATGTATAGAAATGATGTGGAGTACCCACATTATCCTCAAATCCAAAGGCAGAAAGAAGAAACAAATAAGCAATTCCCTTAAAGTGTAAGAGTCCATATAGTAAGTCTATTTTTCATATCTTTTCATAAGAAAAGATAATATCCTGACAGTTTCTCTCTGACTCATTAATGGGTAGCTACTATCCTTCAGCTGAGAAGACTACTAAAATATCCACCATAGCTAAGACGGAGGAACTCATCATACAAAATTTTATATTAGTAGCACTGAAAACATTTTAAATATATTGAGTTAATGCATATTGGAGCATTTCATTAATTTATTTACTTTTTCTGTATTGGTGCATTTTAAAGACCAATATTTGTAAATAAGCAACATTTCAAATAAATCTACAGTTAGCCAATCTAGAAAATAACATCCGATTAAGAGTGCTAATACCAGTTTTTTTACTAACCAAAATATAATACATGAATACCACCGACTCCAGTTAAAGAAAATCAGTATTATACAAAATATTACAGAAGCTCCACAAGGTTGGCAAAGAAAACCAAATTAGTTTATTACCACAATGAAAAACTCATTTAATATATTTTATACCATGTCAAAAATCTTTTTTATTAGAATAGATGTTTCTACCAAATAAAATTAAATCCTCCTATATCACCACCACCTCAATCACAATAAGAAATAATCCCAAAGGGCAAAAGGTTAGCTTAAATACTACTTTTTAAAAAACACACAAAGTTTCAAGCCACAAAGCTGACTTCTAAAAATCTTTGCCCGTATTATAGATAGATATTCTGGGTATGGCATAAGTGTGCATCTTTTTTAAGGAAGCTGTATATCAGCTCCTTTCCCAGTGAACAGTGAACTGTCTCAAATCCACGTCACAGAGGTTGGATCAATCTTGCAAACACAAGTCATTGCTGAAAAGAGGCCTTGAACTGAAACAGCCTGGAAAATGTATTAGATACTCATCCTAACAGAGAGTATGCCTTCCAAGCAGTTAAAATGTAATATGGCAAAACTTATATTAAACACATCATTTAAAATAAAAATCCTGCCTTAACAGATGTAAAATCCCTGATACAAGGAAACAAATTACCTGGAGTTAGTGAAGGGAGAGATACTAACATATGAAGGAGATTTCATTTTGCATTTTTCTCCAGTTATAGTTGGGTGTACGTGTGTGTATGTGGGGGGTGAGGGGTCTTCCCACTCCTTGTTTATTACACTTTTCTATTAACCTTTGAAAGTGACTTCTTTCTTCTTTCTTTTCTTGTGAAATGGAAGCCAGAGCAGCTATCCTTGCCTAGAAAGATGATATGGGGTTTTAGGGAAAAATCAGAATGGTGTATATCCTGCCCTTAGCAAGAAAACCATTTTCAAATGTGTAACTTGTCTCTATTGTCTATCTTTGATTTCCATAAGTACTTAATAAATTGCTCCAAACATGCCATTATTAGACTCCCATAATGAGAGTAAAAAAGAAAAGGTATGATAGCCACTATTTTCAGTGAATCAACCTTAATCATATAATTAACTCTGGTTTGTCTGAAATCTAGAAATGTTCAAGAATGAGCATAATATCCATGTGATACTCTAGCATACCTTAATAATTAATAATACAGTTCTATAAATTGAAATCGCTACCTTATAATCCAAGGCTGAGAGTTTTTCCAGTCTTTTGTTTGTATCAGGAGAACCCATCTTCTTGGTAAACTGAATAAAACATAGTTTGTTTTGTGTCAAAAATGATAAGATGATAAAGTTGTCTGTGAGAAGAGCTAAAAAACAAAAACAAAAAAGATTTGATAATATTATAAAATACTAAATTAGAATAAAATGATAATGAATTGAGAATTTTCACTAAAATATTACAAAAAGCTATTCTCAGAAGATAAATACCAATTGAAATAACTAGTCTCCTAAATATCATTATTTTGCAAGAATATTAAAGAAATTACAAATAAACAATAATCATCAATCTAGTCATGCATGGATTTGATACTTTCCCTTTTTCCTAATACCATTTTACAATACACTGATGTTTGGGGGCAACCACCAAATGAACCAAGGCTAGAAAAGCATAAAATAAAGACTATCTCATACCTGAATGTAAAGATGAAAACATTTACTTTTATTTGTACTTAGCCTTTAATCCTGTGTTTACATGATATAAACCATCTGAGAATAAACTGGTTTTTTAGGGGATACAGATCAGTGTTCTCCAGATTTATTTATTTATTTATTTGAGAGAGAGAGAGAGAGTGTGTGAACGCGCTCATGCACAAGCGCACAAGCAGGGGAAGGGGCAGAGGGAGAAGGAGAGGGAGAAGCAGACTCCCCACTGAGCAGGGACCCCAACACGGGGCTCTATTCTAGGAGCCTGAGATCATGACCTGAGCAGAAGTCAGACGCTTAAAATGACAAGCCACCCACCCACGTGCCCCTGTATTTTTTTATTTTTAAATTTTTCATCAATCAACCTTCTTTTTGAGGGTATACAAGCTGAATGAAATAAAGCATATTATACTCAATATGCACATTATATTAATTAATATCTAATAATGAAGATTAGCAAAAATATTTCTACAGCCTTATTTCTAATGCACACAAGTAGGCAGACAATTAATATTCATGAGTTACATAAAGGGTTATTAATGTTATAAGAATTGATAAAAACTTAGTATATTAGGAACTTGAGAAATGTTTTATATTGTTCCTACCATAAAGAAATTATTGAATGTTTCATATATTTTTCTTTACTTCCATACCCTGGCTGTGCAAGCAGCAACCAACAGTATAACTACACAATTACAGGAGAATCTGGAGAACTGCCAAGAAATCACATTGTTATCATGGTCTCATGAGAGTGTATTATTTTGGATATAAATAAAAGAAACAAGTAAAAAGAGATATCTCAGAGACACGAATAGTGTTGGGAGTCTCCTTTTAATTCTTATACAGGAGCATCAACATGACAAAATCATCACAGCCACTATTTTATTTGCAGTGTCAACAAAGGGGTCAATTATTACACATATGAAAATGGAACTTCTTCCATAAGAAGCTTCCTTGACACCATGTTCCTGTAAGGAAGAGGAAACGGCACACTTACAGTCCTATCCCCAGCTTATTATTATCAAGAATGTTGCTAATTATAGCCATCCTGCAACGTGCTTTTCTCTAAGATGATGAAATTGGGTCTAAGTTATTCAGAGGTAGCTAGTGATAGCACACAGCAGAAGCAAGGTTTCTGTATTCTCACCTCTGTCCTTTCCACTAGATCACACTTTGTTTTGATTATTCAGTTAAGATACTGACAATTTTCAATCACTAATGATAATGCAACCTGTTTCTTAAACCTTTTTACCTTCAATAAAAGAATATAACCTTAAAACCTCAGGAGTCAGCACAGTATAGCAGAGAGAAAATGGGCTCTGCAGCTAGAACCTGGGTTCCAATCTCAGTTTGGTATTTTCAAGCTGTTCCTTAGTATCTCATTTATGGGCATGTTTCTTAGTGTCTTAGCTTCAATTTCCTTATCTATAAAATGGAAATAACTATACCATATAAAGTTTTATTTTAATGAAATAAGTAGGTTGACACAGAATTATAGAGCCTTTTAGGGCTCAATAAATGTCAGTATCCTACCTTTTCAATAATTGGCTTAAAATCTTTGTGTGCTTTTTTAAAAAAAAATTTATTTATTTATTTGAGCGAGAAAGAGTGCGGGAGCGAGAGTGTGTGTACATCCATGTGTGTGGGAGTGTGAGGGTGGGGGAGGGGCAAAAGGAGAGGAAGAGAGAAACCCAAGCCAACTCTGACTCCATGATGAGCGATGAGCGTGAAGCCCAACTCCGGGCTCAACCCCAGGCTCAATCTCTGACCCTGAGATCACAACCCAATCTGAAACCAAGAGTTGGACACCCTACTGACTGCACCACCCAGGAGCCCCTTTATTATGTGCTTTGTAGCAATTATATACTGATTGTGGTATACTCAAAAGGATCCGGCTTTATCTAGTATATCTGGCATTGGTTTTTGATATTTAGAAATACTGCCCAAATTTTTTCAAAAGTTAGTATTCATAGATTTTGGTAACAAAGGATCTTCCTACTAGCCAAATCATAGATTTTTTTTTTTTTATTGGTGGATGTGTTGACACATTTGGGTTATTTATCCAAAATTCATTTAAAAATGATAAATATTTGAAATGTCAACAATAGGGGACTAATTTTGAAAGAACACACCAAAAAAAACCCTCTTTTGAAAATACATTCACATTTTTTAAAGGAAAAAGTGAAAAATACTCAGAGTATGAGCCTAAGGCTTGACAAAATTTTTGTAGTAAATATTAGTCAAAACTTGTATTGGTCCCAGGGGTTGTAACTATGCTATTATAAGTGATTACTTGTGTTTGCAAGTCCCCAGTGGTAATAATTAGTGTACCTGTTGACACACTATTTCTCCTGCACCACTGTTAATGTAGGCACATGGGGGTAATTACCATCACTGATGGAGTTGGAGATGAGCTTCCCCACCAGGCTTCTGTCAATCACCACTTTTTCCAGCTGTGGCCCAGAGAGGCTTAGGGACACCAGCACACCTGAACCAAAGAGGAGCTAAAACCAGGTAAAGGGGTCAGGGGGAGAGATATACTGCGAATTAGAGTCTTTCAAAAATCTCTCTTTAAATGTATTTAAATTATAAAGATATTTACATGAGCATCTACACCATGAAATTATAAAGAGTTTTTCTTCATTGAAAACAATCACTGCCATTCTGAGTAAATAGATACAGGTGGCTAAATGATGCACCACAATAAATGCACTGATTAAAGCTATGTGCAGAAACTGAATTTAGACCATGTTTATTAGACGCCTAATCATCAAAACACTTAGAAAACACCAATGTAGAAATAACTGCTTTGTACTGATTTCAAAAATGTACTGTGTTCTATTAAAATATTTTGAAAGATTACTATTTCTATCAGAAATTAAAAGATTTCTGAAGGTTTGAATAGTTGCTATACATCAAATATAGAAAAGATGCAACCATTACAATATAAACAAAACAATATAAAAAATGAATGTTACAATTTATTCGGAATTTAAACCCCACTTCTACAAATAAAGATCTTGTCAGTTTAAAATATTAAATACATGTAAATCAAGTCAATTTAAGTAAAATGTTAAACTTTAATATTCATAAATAAATAGTACATGTCACAAACAATTTCTCAAAAAGAGATAAACATAGTAAAGTACCCGGGCTTTATCAATATCAGTGTTCACCCAACCACCAACAAAAGATGACTGGATATCACCATTATGATTTTATACTGCTCCTTTCCATTTGTGGCAGCATAATTCATTCATCTCCAAATGTTTAAAACTTCTGAAAGGACTATGCATATGCGTATGCTTGTTATCTATGAGATTATGAAATATCAACATTGGAAGAAATTGTTTCACCTTCAAGGAAACAGACTCAAAGCTGATGAATCATGGAAGAGCATATGGTATAAGAAGAAAAAAAACCAATTGTCAGTAAACTAATCATGAACATGCTAGCCAAACTCAAAGACAACTATGATTTTAAGCAAAACAGGGGAATTCCCCACCTACCTAGGAGTCGTGTCCCAGCTAGAAAGGATGATTCTGTGTCAAGACATATTTAGACATGTGTGAAGGATGAGCAGCATGAGGGACCAGGCTAATATAAAGACTACTACTTCCCCACCGCCTAACAGATTCCAGGCACATGAATACGAAAAGAAACTGAAGGGTCTCACATGACTTAACAGACTGTCCATTTAATGTCAATGCCCCTACACAGGGCAGAGGGCAGGGAAGAGGTTACCATCTTTATTTGTTTGAGAGACTAATAAGAGAAGAACATTTGTTCCAAGAATTTCAAAATATTCACAAACTAATCTCTACTGAATTACATCCAGCCCTGCAATACACCTTGATGGCAAACACTGATACTTCTCTTTGGGGAATTCTCCCATAACAACATAACACATGGTCTTTACTTCTAAGTTCTCCCTTTTCAGGCAGGTAATTTTAGGGTCATCTTTCATACCCAGTTCTCCCCTATGTCACAGCTTTTTTCCCCCTCCCCCATATGTTATATATAACATCTCTAAAAGCTGTCCTTTTCGGGGCGCATGGGTGGCTCAGTCGTTAAGCGTCTGCCTTCGGCTCAGGTCATGATCCCAGGGTCCTGGGATCGAGCCCCGCATCGGGCTCCCTGCTCACCAGGGAGCCTGCTTCTCCCTCTCCCACTCCCCCCTCCTTGTGTTCCCTCTCTCACTGTGTCTCTCTCTGTCAAATAAATAAAATCTTCAAAAAAGATAAAATAAAAAATAAAAGCTGTCCTTTTCTATTTATTTTTATCCACTAAGACTTTACACCTATATTCCTGAGCATCTCTTTTCTTAGTTATCCACTGACTACTAGCTCTTTATGGATATTGGCTAGGCCACTTTTATCTTTGTATCCTCAATGCCTAAAACAATGCCAGGCACACAGTAGGTGCTAACTACATGTTTGAAGAAAAAAATCATAATTAACTCATTATAGGATTAAATTATTCATAGTTAGAAAGAAACTTAGTCTAATCTTCCACAATGACATGAAAGTTCCTTCTGCAGCATCCCTTCAAGCATCCTTAAAGCATTCACCCCATGCTTGAATACCTCTAGTGATCAGGAGCTCATTATCTTATCACTGGACAGTTCTAATTGACTTAGAGATCATTTATTCATGTTTTTCATTCAACAAAAACTGAATGTTGATTATATGCCAAGCACTAAACTAAACTTAGTAGCTCAAAAGAGAATAAAATATAATCCTCAAAATAGTTGAAAGATACGTTAATAGAGAGAGAGATACAAGCAAGTAAGTGTACTAAAGTGCTATTACAGGTCCTATTATTGGAGTACATACTGGGGAGACTGGGAAGACTGAGTAGGAGATGGTGGTGCTTGAGCCTGAGGTAAAGGCTAATACTGCCTTCTAAGAACTTCTATAATAATCTAAAATTTTCTTCAATAGCACACTTTAAAATATTAAAAGATAGTAACATAGTGTTAAGCATGGACTCTGAATCAGCATGAAATCAGCATTGGCTCTACCTCTTACTAGCTGTGTGACCTTGTGGGAGTTACTTAACCTCTCTATAACTTCATTTCCTCATCCAAAAAGATAGGGTAACATCTACCTCATAGGATGAGCATTAAATAACTTTTTACAAACAGTATTTAGAATAATGCCTGCCACGTAGTAAATGTTTGCAATTGCTATTACTATTATTCAACCATTACTCATATGATGTATGTTCACTATACTATTTGCCATCTCTGAACACATTTTTTTTTTGTCTTTCTAAAAATCTTGTGCCCAGATTAGACTCAATACTAGACAGAGTGCACTAGACTCCAGGTGAGTTATCACCAGTACAATCTTTTGTCACCTTTCCCATTTGCTACAATTTCATAAGTATATTGTCTCCAAGATATTTGCAAGTTCCTCCAGAACTCTGGAATTTAATTTGTCCAAGTTTCAAATTTCTTTCCTTACTTTCTGCTCTCAGCACCACTCTCATGAACAAACCCTCATGTCCTAAGAGCAACTGCTGTTTCTATGTATGAGCATTTTTGTTATCTTAGAAAACAAATTCTAAAAGACCACTTTTGTGGGATGGAGATGTAAAGTGCAACCTGTGAGAGTAGGTAAAAGAGGGACGTAAGCTGGAAAGGATTCAAAGGGGAAGTTTTGAAGTACAGTAAGAAAGCATGCATGTTGAAGTAGATAGCATGGAGATTGGAGCAGTGATTTGGGAACTGTGAATCCTGCCCAGTGAGTTTCAGCATTCCTTCAGAATCTTTCTTTGAAGGACAGGTGCAGCCACTTATTTACATATTCATTCATTCATTCCACAAATCTATATTTAGTATTTTGTATGAGCCAGGCCCTGTTCTAGGCACTGAAGATACAGCAGTGAACGTAACAAACAAAGTCCCTGCCTCCCTCACCTCAGGGAGCTTGCATTCTAGTGTGGACACATGCAATAAGCAAATAGTTTTGATATAATGTCAGATAGCAACAAGAACTACAGAGAAAAATAAAGCACAGTAAAGATGGGGATTTTAGGAGAATGCTCTTTTAAGCAGAATGACTAATAAATAAATAAAAAGATCTCTCTAAGGAGATGACATTTGAGTCATTTGACCTAAATGAAGTTATTGAACAAGACATCGGATTATTTGGAGAAAGGGCACTTGAGGTGGAGAACAGCAAATGTAAAAACTCTAAGGTCAGAATATGCCTGGGATGGCTGAAGAAAGCTAGGGCAGAGTAGCTAGAGGGAAATGAGTGACAGTGATATTCACAGAGGATGAAATTAGAGAGGTAGCTGCGCCACGTTAGGTTGATGAGAAATCACTGGGTTTTAAGCAGCAGAGAATTACAATCTAATTTATGTTTTAAAGAGGGGTCTGGGCAAGAGTAGAACCAAGGAGACCATTCGGAGCCTATTGCAGTGGTCCAGGTGAGAGAAGATGATGGCTTGGACAGAATGGCAATGCTAGAAGAAATGATATGTGGACAGATTTGAGATATATTTTAAAGGGAATCAACCAGGACCTGCTGAAGGACTGGATGTGGCATACAAGAGAAAAACTCAAAAATTTTTGGGCTGAGCAACTGGATTTAATGAGACAGGGAACACTCAAGGAGACACATATTTAGGGGGAATCAAAAGTTTGGTTTTGGACATGTTAGTTTATGGTGTCTATGGACATACAAATAGAGATATTGAGTAGATAATTAGAAATGAGTCTGAAGTTCAGGGTGAAGTAAGGGCTAGCAATATATATTTAGGAGTCATCAAGAATATAAAGATAGTGTTTAAAGTCATGGAACTGGATAAGCTGTCCTGAAAAAATGAGTAGAGAGGTCATATGGTTGGGGCCCTAATCCACCCTGACTGGTGTCCTCATAAGAAGAGGAAGAGACAACAGAGAGCTCTCTCTCTCTCCATGTGCACGCAGAGAGGAAAGGCCATATGTTAACATAGTAAGAAGACTGATGTCTGTAAGTCAGGAAGAGAGGACTTACCAGAAAGCAACCCTGACAGCACATTGGTCTTAGAATTCTAGTCTCTAGAACTGTGAGAAAAAAAAAAAAAAACAAACAAAACATTTCACTCAATCAATCAACAAAGTTGAAAGAGAAAGAGGACCATGGTCTGAGGTTTGGAGCATTCCAAACTTTAGAGGTATTAAAAGATCAGGTTAGCCCTCTTACTGAAACCTAGTTTGGGTACTCATCAGGATCAAGGTATGTCCATCATTATAGATCTCTAAATGTCTTGTGGCCTAGAGGTATCTCTGACACCAGATTTTGAAATAATAAGATACAAATAAATTAATATGCTAATCAATGCATTTTTATAAAACAACCTGTGGGAAAGCATAAAGTTTCCAAGTACTGGTGCCAAAGATAGTCATGGATATAGTAATGGAGATAACCAGAATCAGGAAAAAATAGTCTGAAGTTCAGGAAAAGAATATTCCAGTTCAGACAAGAAAGTGTTTCCACCTGTTTCCCCAAAA